ACGGGCAGGGACACTTTCCACCATCCCAGGTTGCTCCAAGCCCCATCCAACCTGGCCTTGGACACTTCCAGGGATCCAGGGGCAGCCACAGCTTCTCTGGGCAGCCTGTGCCAGGGCCTCACCGCCCTCCCAGCAAAGAATTCTTTCCTAAAATCTAACCTAAACCTGCCCTCTTTCATCCGAGGTGGATTAGTCAGACCTCTAAACTGCTCTTGCCGGTAACAGGCATCAATTAACAAACAGCAATGACTTCACAGAAACGGGATTTCAATTTGCACTTCAAAACGGGCCCTGCAAGTGCTGTAATAACATCAATTGACCTGGTGGGCCAGGCTTCCTACGCCCAGGCAGCCCGGGGATCGATGAGGCTGCAAGCCACGGAGCTGCACACGCTTCTGCCTTTATCCTTCCTAAACAAACCCCAAAACCTCAAACTGGCTTTGCACCTCTTCTCGGGCAGCCTCCACCACCGCGATTTGCATGTGCCGAGCAGCCGGCTGAGCTGCAAGAGCCAAACTCAGGCAGGACAAGCTCCAGTGAACAGCACTTGCAGGCGTTCTCCGAGAAGAAAACTCTGCTTTTGAGGATTGCAGCCCCACCACTGCAGCTCATTGCCCTGCCAGCTTTAGCGCAGCAATCACGGCTGGGTTGTAGGAGACAATTTTGAGGCTCCAGCTGCATCCCCCAAATGCCATGGGAATGCTGTCCCCACTGCCAGGCCACACAGCAGCAGAGACTTGTTTGTCCTTTCAGTATAGAGTGGCGCATCTAAAGTCTATGAGTTACACTTGTCTTTTTCACATGAAAACAAACAAAAAACCCAATGCCTGTTGGGGGTTTTGCTCATTAGGACTAACACCAAATACTCCACCCTGAGTTAAAATCCCAGAGTTAGGAGCTGCTTCAAAATGTTCAGTCTGCTCCTTCTCAAAAAATAAAGGTATTTAGCACAGATTGCAGGAAAAATCTCTGGTGATGAGACAGGAGCCAATGACCATGAGGTCCCTTCCAGTTCACTGCTCCTGTGGGGTCTCCAAAGCAGAAAAATTGTCTCTGAACCAGAAACCAATTCACAAAGGGCCGCCAAGATCTTGGCATCAAACAGGTAACATCTGTGCTTAGCTGCAATTCCCAGCCTGGTGAAAACATTGCTGTGGGCAGCAGGAGGAATGCCCTGGGAAAACAGGCAACTGGGAGAAGCAATAGGAGTCAAAGAGTAAGGAGGGAAAAAATCAGGCAACAGAGACTGGAAGGGAAAAACAACAAATACGTGCACAGCCAGAAGGACAGAGATAAACCAAAAACTTAAGCTGAAGGTGTCATGGCATTTCAAGAATTAATAGTCACGGGAAGCAAGCTCAGGAAGGGCTCTGCCTCCCCATAAGCAAACAAAACTTGGGAATGCAGCAACAACACCCAACTCATCAGCTAAACAGTCCCAGAGATCCACAAATATTCATGGGAAGACGATGATGATCATGATCTTTCCTAACCCGTTTGAACAGAACAAAAACAACCCTCCGATTTTGCTGTTGAGACCCAGCCCAACTGAAGGCAATTGGACAATCATGCTTTACTTATTCCCAGCATTTGCTGCTTTTGCTCTGACTTGGCAACTGCCAAAATCCATCCTCACGTGTAAACAAACACAAGAGCTAACAGTCCCCACTTGAAAAATCACAGAATTCCAGAAAACTGCTCTGGATTTCCCTTCTGCAACACGACATCAAGAAGTTCAAGATCCGTCTGTTACCACAGCTGAGCTGCCGGAAAAATTTTGCTCAATGAAGGCAGGCAATTACCCCAGCTCCAGAATCCCTGAACACCGAGCTGAACCCATGCAAACTTCCATTTCTGGAATGAGAAATGGAAAAGCAGAGGCATCCCAAAGGCCTGAGTGGGAACAGATAACACTGCATGATAACAACTGGGCTCTCAGATGGGAGGTGACGTCGAGGGATTTGTCAGGGGGAGAAGAATCTCTCTCCCCATCATCACATAATCAGACCGTGGTTCATTTCTGATGCTATTTCTGCATAGAAACGAGTTTAAGATTACTCAGTACTCGATAAAACCTGCCAGCCCACGTTCCAAGATGTTACTATCTCGGATATCATAGATTTCTCCATGAGAACAGAAATATCAAAGATAATCACCTCCATGTGACACTCCTCTCAGGAAACAAAAGTTACTTAATCTTCTTCACACACATGTGAGGCTTGCAGCACAAGAAACCCAGGCAATTTAAAGTTATCATATCACAGTATCAACACACGCAGCCTACCAGACTCAAAAGCAACAAGAGGTCAGAAACTGGTCAATGTTTGGATTTTAACACGCACACAGCAACAGAACAGCTTATCTAAAGTGCTTCTCAGCATCTCTGTGAAACCTTAATAACATTTAATCCATTTCTAGCCCCTTCTGGCTCCAAATTGTTTGGGTTTGGACCAGCGTAGCCTGTCAGCATTAAGTTATTATCACCACACAGGTAAAATTTTTGGTAAAGACCCTGATGTTTCTTGAGCAGGAAGTGACCTCATGTGGGGAAAACAGCTGGGAAAAAAGAATAACACGAACCTCAACTTTAGCAAATAACTCACAGGAGCACAATACCAGCCATGGTAAGAAGCCCAGAGCGAGGCCATCCTCGTCCTTGCTGTCCTCACCAGCTCACAAGGCAGAACCCCAGAAAGAGCCACAGGGAGCAAAACTCAGGCACTGCCTCAGTGTGGGAGAAACGGGGCTGCAATGGCCAGGGTGGCTGTGAGTCCCTGAAACTCTGGGGATCCTCAGGCGGGACAAGAAGGTCTCAGGATCCTTGCTGGATGCAGGAGGGAGGACAGGCACGAAGGCTGGAGCCCGTCAGCAGCACCTGGGCACCCCCTGCCACCTTGGCCCTCCCACCACGAGGGTCCCCAGGCTTGTGGGGACCCCTCCACAGTGTCCCTCATTCTGTGAGACCCCCACCATGCCCCTCATGCTGCGAGGAACTCTCACAGCCCACCAGCCCTGAGGGGCTCTCCCAGCCTCGCGGGGGTGCCCCGTTTCAGTGTGAGATCCCCACAGTGCTTCTTACTGTGAGGCGAGGGGCTCTCCTCACAGCCTCCCCAGCCCTGAGGG